CGAGAAAAGGACCACATCAACTATAATTAATAAATCTGTTGGATATTTATTTTAAATATTTCGGGCGTGAACCTTAAAGTGTCGAGCCAGAAAGGTATGACTCACCCAGAAGTCTTTTCACTCTTGCCAATCTCAAACGACGTACTGGTCGGTAAAAATGACGACACTTGTTACATAATAATATTTTATTTTATTTATTTATATTTTTTTATTAATATTTCTATTTTAAAATTTATATGGTGCAAGCACAAATGCTCCAAACCATAATACTGGTAAGTAATATTACTGGTTAATAGATATTTCTACTTAGCTTTGCCGATCGTCAGTTTAGCAAATCTAAAACTGGATGAATGTAAGCATACAATTTTTCTCACTGCAACATAGGGAGAGAGGACATTTATAAAGTAAGAGACGCCCTCTGAATTTACATAACAATCTCGACATTTGCTCAGCGAAGGTGCATCGTGGGCAGCTGGTTGTCTTGCGCGCACGAATCGCGTAACAAGCTACGCAGTGCAATACACCTTCTTTAAAGATTTACATTTCATTCGAAATCTCCCGCGCAAAAGAAACAACAAGTGCAAGGTATATATACACATTCGCGGGGCCTCCGCCAGTACATAAAATACACGTTCAACAAAGAGCAGGTGCTCAAAAGTACTTGAGAAATCGAGAAGTCCCCGAGCCTTGCACCCGCTTATCAGTAGATTTCAAATCATACCTCCTAATAAAAAAATTCATTGAAATTACGTTTTCAAACTCAAATATCTTTACATCATAATTAATCGATATAATTTTTAAAAAAAAATTCTTATCTAAATCATAATAATTATAATACACTGCAATAGGTAAGCCACTGCATGTGAATACATTTTTTTTAAACGTTCTTCGCACAAACTTTCTGCATGATGAGCCAAAAAAGATTCTCCTCAGCTTCGTCGGAATGGGGAGAAGGACTTACTTTATGTAAATTTTGAACATTTTAGTCGATAAAATTTGACGAAACGCGTGCGCGCCCTTCGCGGACTTAATAAACAAGCGTAGGATGCTGATATTCTGAGAAAATTGTATCGCGCTCGAAGGTTTATACATACGTCTTAAAAGCAAGAAAGAGAGAACGAGTGAAAAGTAAAGGATAAAAAAGTTTCACTGCACTCTCGGCTGCGGGAACGAAAACCTTTCAAGAGGCGCACGTATACGCGGCGATAAAGTCTTGTCTTTCAAGCATTTTCACACCAAGTAGGTTTTTTAAAAGCATTTTTCATTCCCTTCTGCCAATCAAACGAATTATTCAGGCCCACCTGCGAATAAAGCCTCGTAAAAAATGCCAGTTATATGCGTACACGTGTGCGCGTGCAGCAACGCACGTAATGTATGGATACTTTCTATATATCTTGCACGTTTAAATGTTAAACGTTCGAAGCTTCATGATGCATTGATTATGAACTGCATCTGTTGCAATGATTAGTGCAAACTGATGTAGAGATGTTCAGAAATTGTTGCAAATAATAGATGCCGACCGCAGAGAGCAAAGTTCTTAAAAATTGTTCATTTAAATTTTCTTAACTATTTCTGTATCCCAAAGCTTTGTAACCGTGACTAAAATCATTATTAATAAATCAAAAACTCTCTCTGTTTCTTCTTCCTAGTTAACAAATTGGTTGCTTATGAGAAATTATTGTTTACGTAAAATTGGTACTCAGGTCAGTCAACGATTGGATTGGAACAAAGTGCACGACAAGTTTGGCGAAGTCTTCAGAATACACACTTCATACTATGGGCTAGTGCAGCACTCCCAACGTCAATTCTCTGGGAATATCTCAAAGGCACACACACACACGCACACAGTGTTGTCGAATAATGGCTTTGTCACTGCGTGAGCGAGCGAATAAATTGACCGAAACAGAAGGTCGAGAAATGCCTGTGAGGATCGTCGTCGTTACCTTGTGCACTGCACACACTCGTACAGACGTGTAAGTCGTTCACGCAAGATACAACCGGTCACGCGAGCTTCTTCTTCTCTTTCTTTTTGCATATTACGTACGGCTCGTTCGACACTTCTACATCAAGTATATAAGACGTAAGATACAGGGCTTCCCAGTAATGCTCATCAGGCGTACCAGAAACAGTGCGAAGAAGAAAAAGGAAGAGAAAAAAAAGTATTACAAAGCGTGGCAGAATCTATTTATTTGCTGGCCAATGTTTGCTTTCTCAAACGCAGTTCTATCATTATGATGATCTAATTAAAATGTAAAAAATGTGCCTCAATTTAATTGTGATGGTAAAATTTTGGTGTGAAATTCAGCATTTTTCACATTTAATTTTTTAACAGGAAAATTTTCACGCAAAAAATAATTGAAGAATAATAATCAATGTCACATATAAAGTGACTCGAGGGCAGGAATAAATGGTCCAGGAAGATCATCTCAAATTCAGAGTATGTCTCTTGCGTGTCGCCAACATCAAAGATGCTAATTCAACACGCTCGTAATGCCTCATCCGAGGCACTTATAATGTCATGCAATAAATAATGCATTAAAGAGAAAAGTCAGCGTACGCGTATGACATTTCACACTTAAATTATTACATTGCTTATTTTTGCGTTCTACCTTGAGAGCTGTCTTCGAGCTCCAAAAAGTAAAGTCCCAATTGCGCCGTAATTCTTCGCGAATGCAAGAATGCACCAAGCGCCAGACGTACGCGCCTAGAATACCATTTTCAATAATCTCTCACGCACGCGTAACGTACACGAATTTATACCTATACATTTTTTCCGTCCCTTCGTATAATTTTCATATGTATCTGGATGATGCAAAATAAATTATCTACTTTGGTGCACTATATGCTTCTCGAGCTTTCATCATTTCCTGCCATATACCATGACAATCCCCTTAAAGTATCGGAGTATTTATGTAACTCAACTAATATATCCATATTACCCGGACTAACGCACCTATGTTCGCGGCTATGCGTCGTTGCAGCATATATATAGGTAGTCGTGGGGCAAGGTAGAAAAGCTGCTTTCTGCCTAGTGGACGATACATATAATTCAGCGCGGGTATGTCCCTCTGATACTTGCACAATGCCATTTTTTTTATACAACCGTGTGTTTATATCCATGCATGAGCTCGGTATGGAGTTTGGACCAGTTCTCCAATATGAACATGCACATACATGCGAATACATTTCCTTTTTGATTCGTTTTTGCTGCTGTTTTATACCTGTACACGCACGTACGTACGTGCCCTTGTATGTATACATTCATAGGTTTTGGCCTGTTTAATATCGTTACAATGGTCTGTCAGGTAAAAAATAGCAGCATTTGCGTAGCGTATTATATAGCTTTTTTTTAAGTTTACATTTGAGCTCACTATTCTCGAGGCATTTAAAAAAGTCGATGAATATTTCATGGAGCTTTGCTACTCGTAATTGACTTATTTCGCGGCATTGCTTGTAAGCCCATGCCGTTTTACTCTCTTTATCGCATATATATAGCGCAAAACTGAATATAGTACGCATAGTATACACTATAGCTCAACTGCAATATAAATGGTTTTCTTACGTAGACTTTTTTCTCTTCAATATAATACGCGTTTAGAGCGAGCATGTGTGTATTCTTTTCTTCAATATAGGCTGCTTGACAATATTATCTTGCAGGCAAGTCGCCTTGAAAGACGCAACACAATGGTTACAGTCTTGTTATACCAATCTGCGGAAATTGACTGTTTGAAATATGAATTTCGTTAGGTCTAAGCGCTGGACGACTTTTTGACAACATAATTTAAAACTTTCAAAAGTGACGATCCTAAGGCGCTAAATCCTATTCTCTGGTAATCCGTCACTATTGTTGTGGTTATTTCTGTAAGTACCAGACGTTTATAAATGGTCAAAAGAGTCTATTAGCTTCAACGTTTCTTTACCAATGTGGCTTTACCAATTTTGAAATAAAAAAAAGTTGTTTTATTTAAGTAAACTTTAAGATACAGTGCATTACAATGTAAATCGACAATTATTTTCGATTTTCAGGTACATCCATTAGGTTTTTCGATTTTTACTTTTTTTCGTCGAGCCATAATAGGACAAAGTAATATTAGTTACATAGATTAAAAAAGCATCGAATAGAAAATTGGAGAAGCTTCATTCTAGTCTCTTTGTCTGTGGAGCTTTAGATGAAAACTAGCTGCACAGGAGCTACAGCCCCCGGAGCTTGACGTGGGCGACTCTCGGTCGTGGGCACAAGTTGTCGGGCACGTTACGACGATACATTTTTTCACACGCAAAAGGCCATACACATGCAGAAGGTAACAGCGCGCGAACATAGCGTATAGAGTGGAATGATGACAGAGCGGAGAAACGCGTGTGCGAATATGCTCTAATTGTCGAGCTCGTGTCACAGATCGTACGCCGCGCGTGTGTGTGTGTGTGTGTGGGTGTGCGTTATAGCACGTCGCGCAGCTCTGCTCTATAATCGTCGCGCGCCTGCACATAGACGTGTTCACGTGTCTTCGAAAAGAAAAAATAATCGAGTCGAAAGCAGAAACTACGTAGGTATAGGTACGTTTGACGCTGCACACCTCTCGCGAATACAACTTATGCCTGCGCGCGCTATCTGAGCGGAGCCGTGCGCGCGTCGATTCAATATGCACGGCACATCGAGCGAGCGAGCGCGCCCGAGCGTTGATGTCCGCGAATTAACAATGATGAAACGTTAAAAGTTTACTCGCGACTGACTGTGCGATTGTCGGACATTAACTCGCGAAAATTTAACCAACACATGACCTCAACGATACCTTTTACCATCGGGCACTGGCATTAGAACTCGTGACCGGCAATTTGAATATATTAGGTGAGGCGGACTATGAACTGTACTTTTTGACACAAGGAATGTATTTAAAGGATGCTTTTATTCACGCAAATTCGTGGACATTTATTTGATGAGTATATTTCAATTATTGTACATTTTTCATTATTATATTTGAAATTCTTTTTTTATAATTTGATTATCTGTGTTCATCTCTGATAATTTTTGTTATGTGTTTGACTCTCAAAAAATCTAAAATATTAGTAGCAAAATGAACTGGAATTTATCAAATCTTAGAATGACTATAATTGATCATTTTCAAATTTCTAAATCCAATCGTTTTTTGACTAAACTTTGGTAAATACGCCCCCTAATGATATCTGCAGTGTAACAAAATTTATGTTTGAAATTTTTTGACCATACAACTGACTTATAATTTGAATCGATTAGTAGCGCATAGATTTGCTCAGGGCTAGAAGTGCAAATTTGATAAATAGACACGCGGTCCCTTATCATCGTAGTTTTAGCCCATTCAAATTCTGACTTAATTCGACCAATTTTGAAACTACTAAATTCCTCTTCTGGTCTTGGAAATTTGTCGTCTAATTCGGAAATCTTATTGGTTAGATAATATTCCGTTTTTGGATCAAAATGCATTTTGCCAATTTTAATAGTTGCTATATACTCGAAAATTTTCAAAAGTATACATTTTTTTACGCGTTGATTTCCAATAATCGTGTCTTTCATCTTATCAAGTAAAGTATCGATGAAATTTTGAATATATGATCCTGAACCTAAAATGAAAATGTTTTTAATATTAGCCACAAATATTTCAAATTAATGTAGCTTAATTACTTACTTGTTTGTAAAGCTCTTGTTAGTTGATTAAGTTTGTAATCCGGCTGAATTAAATGTTGCACATCCCAATCAGAAAACTTATTGTTATAACTTTCTTTTTCCAGAAGCTCTATTATATCCAAAAAAATTAGTACACTCTCACAACCCAGTGGTAAATTTCTGATACTTTTGAAAATATTTTTATCTAAAAAAATATTAGTAACATCGGCTCCAAATTTCAAAAGTAGCTTGACTACGTCGTAATTAAAATGAGATACAGCAATATGCAGTGGTGACTGGTCCCATTTGTCTTTGGCATTTATGTCAGCTCCGCTATTCAGCAACATTTCGACCTTTCTAGTTCTAATTTCCTCTGGGAATTCCACTGAATCAAAGTCATAACGTTCATATCGAGAAAAATCAATTACATCCAAAAATGGTACTGGTAAGTAAGAATCTATAACAACGTGTAATATTGTCTGCTGATAGGTGTTGACAATTGAAATATCTGCTTGATTTTCTAGCAAAATTTTCATAATATTTCGTTGAGTCCTTCTTATTGTATTTTTCTTTTCTTCAAACGAGTCTTCCAATCTGTTATAAATATCGAACAACGTAAACAGTGGTGTATCTCCTTTTCCGTTTTTAGCATTTATGTTGCATTTGTACTTGATTAAAAGAGGAATAGATTCTTCGTAATGATTATGATGTAAATATTTTACTGAATTCTTGCAAATTCTGTGAATAGAATTTCCTCCATCATTGTCGCGCAAATTTGGATCTACTCCATTTTTTAACAGCGTTTCGATGGCTTTAATTTCGTCACAATCAACAGCATAATGCAAAGGGGATCGGCCTAGGTCATCAAATATATTTGAATTGGCATTTTTCTTTAAAAGTAATTCGAGGGTTTTCACACTGCTTTTGGAAACCGACATATGCAAAGGTGTCATCAAAGTTTCTGGGTCAGTTTTATTTGAATCAGCGCCGTTTTGTAAAAGTATTTCAACTAACTCTTCTTTTCCAAGTGAAATGGCCCAGTGCAAAGGTACTTTGCCATCTTCATCAGGCATGTTTGGATTTACCCCATACTTTAAAAGAATTTCAATCAATGCTGTTTTATTGTACTTAATAACCCAGATCAAGAACGATGGATTAACCAGTAAATTTGGATCAGCACCATTTTTCATTAACAATTCGGCTATTTTGCAACAATTAGAATCTACTATCGAAACTAATGGACTCATTTCGAAATACTTTTTGCAATTTAGATCAATACCGTGATCGATAAATTTTTTGACCATCTCAACTTGACCAACCCAGCAAGCCACATGAAAATGCGTTAACCCCCACTTTTCTTGATAATTGACTTCATCGTAGATTTGGAATAGCAAATTAATTTTAATTTTATCATTATTACTTATTGACGACGGGGCTTTAAGTGGTCTCAATAAAAATCGATATCGATTCAAGATCAAATGATGAATCGCCGTTTCACAGTTTGAATCGCTTAGTCTTGACATTTTTAATCCAACTGAAACTAATTTTTGAATGATTTCGTCGTGACCTATTTTTGCAGCTTGTGTTAAAATCCAATTGAGGTTTTCATCCATGCACAAAACCTCAGAAAGTTCTTCTATTTCGAAGTCAGTAATCGATTCATCTAATAACTGCCGGTATAAATAACACCGTATTTCATTTGTAATTTTCGGAGACACTATTTTTACACTTTTATCCATACTTCACAGTTGAATTCAAGTTAATGTTAGTCAGTATCTTTGCTCTTATGCAGTTCAAAGAGATTTTAAGGCAAAAAAGTTTTATTTTAATTGTTAGATAGGCACAAGTAAAATACTGTTGTCATATTTATAATACTCGCGGATAAGAAAAGTATTTGTTCGAAAAGATGTAAATTAGTAAATAATTTTACATCATGAAATATTCCAAATTAATTAGTTAAAAATCAATGTGTAAGCTTACTTAAAATTTACAAGGTTTGAACATGAACTGTGAGCTAAAATCTCTGCGTTTTATTTATAACACACTAAAAATGAGTCGTCTTCAGGCAATTGAAGCTTAAATGATAACATGTATAAGAGTTTGATTTAATCCGGTATCTTATCGCAAAAGTTCACTTTTTTTATTTACTCAAAGACTATAAAAATATTGAGAGAAACAATTACAATTATCTCTTCTCAATTTTTCAAACGCGATTGAGCGTGAACTAATGTCAGAAAATAGATGGATTCTATACAGAAGATACTAAACAGAGTCTAAGTCTTTTTTCTTTTTATATTTACCAGTTCAAGATCGTTGTCTGATGAATATAATATTCGTGCTAAATTCTCTCGATCACTTCTATGCTGACTATCTTTTGAAATGCGCAAGCGCTTCGTTTATCAATACCTTTACATGTGATAATAATATAAGGGGGCACATGAGTAAATGAACAAATTTTCTGCAACACATCCCGAATACAAGGCTGAATAAATCAAGAGCGTACGTAAGCTTTTCGTTGCGCAAATATAATGCCAAACGCAAAAGTTAGAAGTGTGTTATAGTTTATGAATCATATAATCCGAAAGTTTAGAATAATGTTGTGTCGAGGGCTGCCTCGCAATTTAAATATCGATCGTGTTTTTTGCTACTATCCAATTAGAACTTTTTAACTGAATTATTGCTCTTGATTCGTTCTGAATAAAAATTTTGATTTTTTTCTCCGCTCTGCAGTGATTATTGTAGCGTGCGCCCATTGTTCAACGCATATGATCTGTCAATCATTTAAATTTTCCCACAGTGATACACGTAGGCGTCTTCGTTCAAATATCCCGGTAAAAAAACTTTGCGGATGTAATTGCATCACTCGAAATAATCATTGTATTGAGAACAAATGAATTGTATAAATAATGTAACTCAAATACTCATATACATCTTTACTCATTTAAACAATTTTTATACATGCCTACCATCAGGCGTTGAAAATGCCAATGAATGACCAACTTGACTACGTTACCATCCAATGTCTCCCTCGGTATTCATTCTTTCATTATCGTCTGCTCTGCGCACATACGTACATATAAATACGCGCACAGCAGTGTCAGTCCAGCCATACATATATTACGAAATCAAATGCAAGCAGTACGCAGAATAATAGATATTACCGCAAAAGCAGCGGCCTGATGGATCGTGTCGAAAATTGATTGGGCGTGTAGCCATGATCATTTCACCCTCTCTCTCTCTCTCTCTCTCTTTCTATCTCTTTTGCCGTGCACAGCTACTCCCCTTTTGTATTGTCAGATCATCTACGCAAACTAGATCGAAAAAGCTCAGCCCCGGCGCTACGTAGTACGTATGTACCTATATATAAAGCGTAGTTTTATGTGCATAAAAAGCGTTCGACACGGAATACAAGCTTTTTTGTGCCGCATCTCGGGTACGCAGGGCACTGCTACCGCCGCATCGGACCATGGTTTATGTAGCTACGGTGTTTCTCCCTTTGCACATGCGGCTCTATATGTGCAGCTTTTTCAACGTGAGAGAAAGGACACACAACGGCGAGGCTTTTCAAAAAGAGAGCCGGTGCATGAGTGGAATTGTTCGGGTAAATGTGAGGTGAAAATACTTTATTTCCATTAGGCATTTATTGATCATCATTGCGATGGGATACACATCTAGTTATTCGAAAACTGAAAAGACTTTCAATGATGTTTACTCGATGTAGCTCTTTCACTGGAAAAATAATTGCGAAAAATGACTCAATAGCTTTCAAAAGTATCTCTTTGTAATAATTTATTTTCTTAATATAGAAATGGCGATTGAAATTAATATAGTTCTGAACTTGTTTACTAATTACTTAATGTAATTTCAAGATATAATTCAATAGCAAAACAAAATGAAAAAATTTGTTCGTTTTTCTATCTTCTTTTCTTAAAAAAAATAATACAAAGTCCGTTCATGCGCACTGTGATTGGCTATTAATATCTTCGCAGAAGTGTGCTGCATGGGAATGCGAAAAATAATAGCATATCCTGACGATTTCCAATAACTTAAAAAAGCCTCATAATAAATGATTAATTTACTACTATAAATGTTTACAATGTTTTATTTCAGAAAGGAGCTTGAGGGATAAAATTCTAGGAACGAAAAGGTTTTAGAATCAGTAAAATAATACATATGATTTTTCAGAAATTTCAAGACCATCGACTACTTTTTTTATCATGACTTATATTATCATCCTCTCATTTTTCATTTTTTTTAAGGTTATGAAGTACTTATCATTCGATTACTAAATTTCTCTTTGCAGCCCTTATTAAATACATTCGCACCTCGCGGATTAAAAAATGACAGAAAAATATTTACATACTTAAAATGTACGAAATGAATAAGTGCATAATTGGAAACATTTTTTATTAGTTCTTATAACAATTAGATTCTAAATTATGCTTTCAATTTGCTCATGTGAATTATAAAGATTTTATTTAAAATAAAGTCGGTATACATAGGCTATGAGTGTTAATAGTGCCCCACTCTCTCTCTCTCATCATAAATCGTTTAAAATGATTTTAATTCAGGAACTGTAAAAATGCTTATATTTTTCATGAATTATTCGGCAGTATACATTAAAATTTATCATTGTTGTGGTAAAGTTTTACATTTATAGATAAAAATGTGTTTTCATATCTTCCAAGAATCTTTGATTCTGCCTACTTGAAGAATAGCTTATTATCGTGCTTCTGTATGAAATTTTCGATTTTTTCTGTATAAACTGTTTAAAGCTATTTTTTATTATTCATACAACGATAATAAAGCCATAATATACGATGTGATCTTGTTTATGATCTACAAGATATAACATATTTTTTTACGAAACTAAAAGATTGTTTGAGAATATTTTCCTATTGTTTACTTACTATACCAGCATTTCTCAAATTCATGGGGAAATTTGAAGCTCCAGCTGATAGTATCAGAGATTTTGACGCTCTTGTCATTATAAATAGCAACAATGATCTGGTCTTAGGAGAGTATACGTACCAATTGCATGTGTGGTAACTATGATGAAATATATGTTGATTTTTAAAAAATTGAGCTGGAAAATTTAATCAAATTTATCAGGTAGGATTACCAAAACTGATCAAGACAGCAATTAACAGACATCTTATGGCTGGGATAAACAAAGAAACATAAAAACATTACAGAGCCAAACATCGCGCTTATTAGTGTCCCGGTGTACGAAGAACCTGATTTTATTGCGATTGCCATCTAAGCACGAAAATGTGGTTTAAAATTTTTTAAAATTTATATTTTAATTGATGTCATTCCAGCTCTAGCAGAAAATAATTATTTTTCGGGCATTTTTGTGTAATGATTTTGTTTGAATTCGTCAGGCATTAAGTGGTCAATCCGTTACATTGGTTATTTAATGGTCAATGAAAAATAGAAAATTTTTACACAAATATCCGAAAAACGCATTTTTTACTAGGAAAATCGACATCAATAATAGTTTTACCCAAGATCCAATCATGCTTGTACTTATTATAAGTGCAGAAAATACAACAAACATCAGACGTTTGATAACTTCTTTTTGAGAGTCGAACAACCTGAAAATCCATTATAATGTAATTTGTCCTACATAAAAAAATGCTGAAACTCAACTCGATACATTCTTGATGATGTTGAATTAATTTTATAATTCTTTGACGCAACCAGTGATCTGCACTTTGATTACTTATAGACATTTGAAATGTATACTCTTGATCCATTCTTTTCAATTTCATGCTGCAAATTTTTATTTAGAAATATATGGGCTAAATCACAATAAACATGGTACGTCAAAAATCAAAATTGAAACTGATTATATACTTTTAAAAGAATATTGAAAAATGAAAAAAATGCCTAACATTTTAGCCCTCAAAATTCATTCCATATAAATCTACGAGTATTCAGTGGCGAATTATCATTTTCTAATTATTATTCTGCTTCTACGAGCAATCATCTTCGAAATAAAATTGGACGAGAAATTCAAATTTGTGGTCAAAACCATGTTTAAAACCTAAGAACCCTTTTACAATACCAAAAGAGCATAAAAATAAACTTATTCCTATTCAGTGAATAAGACAATATTAGCATATAAACTTTCGAAAACAAAAATACACTATTTTAATTTATTTGTTTAACTTTCTCATCTCACAAAAGCAGAATAACAATTAGAGAATGAAAATTCATTTTTATAAGCTTTTATAGATCTAAAAGTGGAATTAGAGTGCAATAATTTTGAGAATTCTCATTTTAGAATGTTTAGTTTCAATCCTTATTTTTGACCTATTATTGTGGGTTAGTCTGGATAGATTTTTCAACTAAAATTATGAATTATAATTTACATCAAAATTATGGTTAGAAATATTTCACTTGTAGTTGCTCACTTCATAATTTGGAATTGTATGATTAAAAAGGTTGTCGTGAATTGGTAGTAAAATGTGAGAGCTGCAGATCCCCAAGCATAGTTGAACAAGTAATATAAACGGTAAGCTATATGAATATAATAATATTTCTCTTGGTCCAGAAGAAATTTGAATTCGAAAGAAAACTCTTTTTTTCCACTTTTGATTAAAAACCATAATGTAGGAAAATCGAAAGACAAGCACATCAACAATAATAAGGCTACGAAAAATGATGCCTTTATTTATGAATGTAGCCATAAAATTGAATATTAACACTTACCCCATAGTACAAGACTGTTTCG